GACATTCTATTTATTAAATTACTAAAAATCATTATTGAACTGAAATTTATATGAAACCTTTTGTTTAGCTGTAAAAATGTTTCATTCTATTCTTAGCTTGATTTTGTGCTGCTATTCTTTGAAATTAGAGTTTTGTTTTTATCTTTGTTGTGCTTTTGCTCCATGATAAACAGCCAAATATCAACAATCTTAAACATTGGGAAACATAGTAAATACTTCTCAACCTACAAGAGGTTGGAAACCATTCCAGTGAGTAAAGCACAAAGTAGCCTTTCGTATTTATATTTTCATGATTTCATCATATTATAACTCTGTACTGGAGGTGAGATTCCAGAATTCATTAACTTAGAATTGTTTTTTATATTTGGATTTGTTATTCATTATCCTACTTTGCAGGTGAGATGGGTAGAGAAAGGAAAGAAGTGTATCATTTATTTATAATGTCATAATTCCATTCAATATCTTTTTTTTTTAAGTTCTTAAAGTTTGGAGAAAACGTTTCATTCAGAAAAAGAAGTCATCTATAATATCAGTTCATATATTATTTGATAAATTGGGGTATACTTTTATAAAGTCAAAATCATTGGTTCATAATAGTTTTTTTCCTCACACATTACTATTGTAAATACAGAGCACATTAACACTGTTTATTATAGCCAGGCATGGAAGAAGATAGTATTATATACAATGTCCGGTTGCCCTGTATTCTTCCTTTGGGCTCAGTTTGGTTATATACTCTTTGTCCAGAGGAGTGCTTATTGTGCACTTCTCTCAGGTTTTTGTGCATTTTTTTCTGCATAACCTTGCAGACCTTTTCACAGAAAAGCAAATAAATGAGCTACTGCTATATATATCAACCAGGATCTGCCTCAAAATAGTTAGTGAAGAAAGCATGTCAAAAAATTTATGCTGATTAATACCATTTCTATAAATTTATGAAGCATATATAACCAGATTCTTAAGGATACATGCATGTAGTTTAACTCCAATGAAAAGTCCATAAGGATAAATACAATTCAGAATAGTAGTTACCCCATTGTTGGGCCTTTCCTCACATATTCCTTGAACGAGGAATATGTGAGAAGAGACTGATACGATTGAGAAGGAACACAACAGAGGCTTTCCTGAGAAGTTTTTCTTAAACTGGATGGTGAATACTCATTTACATTCTTGTTGCCATATATATTATTTTGAATATGTGAAATACGTTACAATAAAAACATTTAAAATAAAGCAGAGAAAAGATTCCATCAGCCCAGTATTGAACTGTAAAGATCTTTGGTTCCACCAAGGAATCTTTGGGTATTCTGTTCTTAAGAATCTAAAGAGGCAGTATCCTGTGGAGATTTTTTAGTCTCACTTCCTCATTCTAAACTGGCCCAAAGAATTATTGTTTGTACTTTAGACGCTTAATGAAAAAACATGTATGTCTAAGACCTCATGAAGACTTTTGCTCAGGGCACATCTTGGTGGTTTTAACCAATTTTAATTATATGCTTTACCACTGTCTTTGTCTTTTCTGTTCTTTCAGTTACTTCATGAATATTGGATGGCTCTGAGGAATCGTGTATCTGCTGTTGATGAACTTGCAATGGCTACAGAACGACTAAGAGTGCGTGATCCTAGGGAGCCCAAACCCAGTCCACCTGTTCTTCATATCATAGAACCACATGAGGTAATTTGCATGTAAATCACAGAAAAAGGCACAGCAAATAGATTTAACAAAAATTCAAGACCTGTTGAAAAAGTAGAGTCAGGACAGTGATCTCTTCTATAAGTATATATTTAATCTCCATTCTTAATTTGAGCCATTGTTTTTATGGATCTAAATAGGTCAAAGATGAGAAATTTCATATCTCTTCTATGTTTAACTGTAACTATTTTGGTGCATTTTGTTTGTTTCTCTACAGATGACACAATCATCTATTTTTTGAACATCTTTTATGTGCTATTAATAAAACCTATAGGTATTCTCAGTTACTTTTTAGACATATTTTCTATCACCTCAGTTTTATCAGAACTAGAAAAATCTTCCTGTAGAACAACTAAAAGCTTTTCTTTTGCAGCGTTTGCTTTTGCTAATGATGAACAGATATCAATAATTTCCAATAAATTTCTCCAATAAATTCTCCTTTGTATCTCAGGATTAAAACATAACTCCATCAGTCTTTTTATTTCTACATTAAAAATATTCCCTTTATAATTCATTTTTATCCTTTGTGTGTGTTTACTGTTTTAAATCTGTTTCTTTCTTTGAGGCTTAGAAACTAATTTAGACAAAAATT